TTAGCTAGGAGAGACTGAATTTGTGCTGGTTTTGGTTCCTCCCCCCCCCCCCCTTCCCCTATAGCAAAGAAATCCTAAAGTTTCCCATGCAAACGCAGCCCGAGGGAGGGTACGTGTGGGCTGCGAGCTTGTGCTTTGCATTTGACTTGGGTATATATTTAGATTTCTTTAGATTTCTGGCCCCCTGAGTGAGACCTGCTTCTGCAGCTCCCCGTGCCTTTTCCCGCCCTTTGGAAAAAGAAAATCCCAACAAAAAAATCCACAAGAGCTGCCAAAAGAATAACCCTGTGCTGGGGTTGAGAAATGGGAGCTGGTGGGAGCTCCTTCACCAGGTGGGGACCCACTGTGCCAGCTCTGTTACCCCATAAGGGTCCAGCTCCTACATCTTGGTGGTGTCATTTATATAGGCTTGGGAGCTTTTTTGGCTGCAGGATGCATTGCGTCCAAGACATCACTGTGGTGGTTCAGCTCCAACTGGGAGTCTCCACCACAGCTTTGACATGAGAAGCACCCTTGGGTGTGTGGCCCCTTGGAGGGGCTGTAGCTTTTCAGTCTTCACCAGCAAGCTCACATTAGTTGTTTGTGTCTTGGGTTTGCCTGGAAACAGTAGCAAATGTGTTTCTTGGTCGTTTGGGTGGTGGGGGTTTAGGCTGGTGGGGTGCATAAGGTGGTTGTCTTAAAGGGAAGGGAAGAAGCAACAAAGCTAGGTGTCAAGTAGCTCCTCTGTTTCCCAAAGTGCTTGGATGAGTGGTGGGACCTGGTCTGCTGCACTGGGAGCCTAGGGCAAGAGTCAGGAATTTCTTCATTAAAGGAGTTACGGTGTCTGTGTAATTTGGGGATTAAACTCCTGGTCTACCCCGGCTTCTGCATATGATGACCTCCTGGTACCTTCAGCAAAGGGGAAAGAAACGTCTGGGAAGACACAGTGGACTGAGGTGATGAACCATGGCCTACAAGGGATATTAACAAAAAGTGATGCTCCAAAGGGATGGGGTAAAGGGCTGTTCAGTCAAGACAACTGCATCTTGGTGCCAGAGAAGCTATGGGAGCCACCAAAAGTTATGTTGACACAGACCTCATGAAGGGTGCTCAAAGGGACAATGAGCAGTTCCCTACCACTGCAGATGGAAGCAAGGCATAGTGAAGCAGTGGCTGGGGAGATTTGGGCATGGCTTTTGGTCAACACAAAGGCAGAGGCAACAAAAGGCCGTATGGTGGGAAAGGACACCGCCACGAATGGAGCCAATGGGGAAGCCAAGTGCTGAGACCCCATTAGCCTGGTGCTTGGGATGGCTTCCCCCTCCCCATGTTCAGAGGGAGCTGGCACATGAAATGGCAGGTCTGGTAACAAGTATTTTTAACAACTCCATCAAGTTGGGGGAGGCACCATCTGACTGGAGAATACTGAATGTGATGCCTATATTTAAAAGTGGGGGGAGGAGGGGAAAAACTAAGGCAGGCAGGAATAGGACTGTAAGCCTGACCTCGATTACATGCCTTTTTGGAACAGATTTGGAAAGCAAAAAAGGAATATGAATCATGGGTTTGCCAAAGGTAGGTCACTCCGGGCTAACCTGGCATCAGAGTCCTGGGAACATGTAAAGCTGGTCTTTGTAGTAAAACTTCTGCTCTGGGAAGGTGTTAATGAAGAGGAGCTCTGTGAGGCTGGCAGGGAAGTGAGCAGCATTGGGATGGTGCTGTGTGGTGATGAGGGGATGTGGTGACCGGTGGGGCTCCTCGGGGATGAGTCATCGGCTTTCCATGCTGGCTTCCTGGCACTTCAGGGACGGACGGAGGCTGCCACCCTGGGCTGGAGGAGATTGAGAGCTGGAGGAAGAGATGTGGGATGCAGTGTGAAATGGAAAGCCATGTGTTTGTTGTGGAACACATATCTCTTCAGAGCCTAGGTCTCTCTGATGGGAAGTAGCAGTGTGGAGGAGGAAGGGATGAGCGAGTGACCACAGTAGCAGTGCTGGAAGGAGAAAGGAGGTTTGCAAGCAAGGTGGCAAAGTCTCATTAGCATCATGCAGCGATGGAGTGGGACCCATCAGAATTGCTCCGTTGGCTCTCCTATGTCAAGGGAAATTGAACTGAGCCTGGACTGTAGTAGGAAAGGGGCTACTAGTTAAAATAGTGAGGAAGAGCCAATCACGCAAGAGAGAACAGGAGGAACCTTGCTTTGGCTAACAAAGTAGAGGCTGGGAATAGCCATGATTGCTGTCTATAAATACATTAGAATGGGAAATGGGAAGGAGAACTGCTATTTCAGCCAAAGGCCAATGCTGGCAAAAGAATGAATGGTATATAAAATAACCACAAATAAATTTAGGCTGAAAATTGGAGCAGCCATCAGAGCATTTGTTTGAGGAGCCTTCCAGTGGGAATAGTGAGTTTTTTAAGGTAGAGTTGACAAAATCTGGGGGAGATTGCATGACGCATGAGAGGGAGCATGGTGTGTGTCAGAGCATTGGGGTTCAGAAGACACATGGCCAGGCATGGTGGTTCCTTTGGTTTCCTGGGCAGATGTGCTTCACCTTTGGTAGTGGAGAGATGGGAATACATCCACTTATTTGTGTATGTACGCACATGTGCGTGCTCTTCTGTGTTCTGATGCCCTGCTGCACTGGTGCTTTGTGGTCATGCTCTCTGCCACAGGCTAGAGAAGCAGTGAAAGATGCAGAGCCTGTGAAACGCCAAGCCCCTCGCATTTCCCAAACAAGCCCTCTTGTCCCGCCCTGGCTGCGACCTCTGCAGCCTGGGAGCTGCAAAGGCACTGGAGCAACTTTTCCAGCTCCATGGGGAATAAAGGTTTTGGCAGTCAGAGCAGCTGAGGAGATACCAGATGATGGTCTGGAGCCACCGCAAACTGGCTGGGCTCACTAGCTCCTGGTTTTGTAGGGAGTGTTGGGATGTGCACTGGGAAATTTTGTCTTGGTGGAAAGCTGGCACCAGGCAGGGGTACTTGTGTGGCTGCTCAAAGCAGTACTGTTCCTGGGGCTGCTGGCGTTGTCATGGGTGGCTGGGACCATCCCTAAGCTCACTGTTTCCAGTCGTATATGGGGGTCTATGTGGAGTACTCAGCTCCCCATCCCCTCCCCTGCCTCAGCAGTGCTCCTCCTGGTATCACTGACTGATAACCCTGGGGGAATTGCCCTCTGGTCCATCACGTTGTCCCTGTCTCTCCCTCCACCTCCTGCTGAGCACTGCTGGAGAGGAGGCCAAAGGAGGAGTGGCTGTGGAGCAGCCCTGGGGAAGATGTCTTCTCCACCTCTAGGAACGGAGTTCATCTGTCTTGCATCCCCTGTACCAAGGACCTGGGGAAAAGCCTGTGTTTTTTTTGGCAGGAGCCAGTTTCAAAAGCAAGCAATCCTGACATGGGTGACAGGTACACAATGGCGTCTTGGCAGGGAGCTGAAGCCAGCCAAGGCTTATGGATTCATAATCCTTGAAGACTATTCCCACAGCAAATGGTGCTGTTACACAGAGCATGGTGGCCTGGGTGTCTTTGGAGGGCAATGATGAGTGTTTCCCATGCATCATTCCCACCTCCCTGTGCTCACTGCTCCTGTGGCCCTGAGAAAAGGGGCTGGTAGAGAATTGTGGCTCTTGAAAGCGCAGGACTTTGAGAAGATGGTTTCCCTGGTGCTGGAGGAGGAGGGTGGTGAGTCTTTCCAGATGCCTTCCCCAACCTCAAAGCCCTAATTGCTGCTGTGTGCCGGGTACTCCTTGGCACTGGGGCCTCTGCCCACAGCATCCCTCTGCCAGTGCTGTGGTCAGTGCCTGCAGAAGGATGTGCTGGCGTCACCCTTCCTGTGTCGGGCTTAGTGTCAGGGTGGTGGGGATACCTCACTGAGGCTCCCACTGGTACCTTGGTGACCAGAGGGACACTCCAGCATGGTGGTTTTCTCTCCCCCTTGGAGATACACTTCTCCCCTTGCAGAGCCTCTTCTCAGCTCCTGCACTGGCCAACCAGGAGATGTGGTGCCAATGACTCAGACAAAGATGAGGGCTTAATTAGCACGGGGTGGGGGGGGGGGAAGAGAGAGAAAAGAGTCTTTCATTGCAACAAGATTGATACCACCTCCCCCAGACAGTCACGTTCTGCCGCATCACCCTCCAGCCCGGCGTCATGTGCACTGTGCCTGACACCAGAGGACAAATGGGGCCTGGGAAGTGGCTGCAAGGTACAGAGGGGCACTGCCTTATTAAAGGACTCAGTGAATAAATGTCTGGAGGTACTGAGCAGGGCTTGACAGCAGCCTTTTTAACTGTCCGACTTCGCCCTGCAGTTAGAGCTCTGCTCTCAGCCCCATGTGGTTGGAATCATGTACCTGGGGCAGGAGGTACATCTCCTGCATGCTATTAGAGATGGTGCCATGAGCAAAACACCCATTTGAAGGTGTGGGGCTTGTCCACACCAGCCTCTTTCCCACTGTGCATAGAAGGACACGTATTGGCTGCAGCTTCTTTAGCTGCCAGATTCCCTGATCTTTCCCTCTTAACCCATGTTTGCTCAGCGGGCACTGCTGCTATGAGGCTGCTTTGCCATGTCCCAGTGGGCTGCACAGGGGAGCACTGAATCAAGCTGCTGGGAGGCATGCTCAGGATGGCCCCCACACCCTCCGCACCGTGATTTCAGGCCACTACATCTCTGACTATACCACTGTCTACAGCCCCTTTGTCCCTGCAGGGATGGTAGGAGGAGGCAAAGGAGAGTGGTTCTGCCCAGTGAGAGCTGGAGATTGTGGATGCGAGTGTGGCTGGGGCAGGATGCCGAGGGGCATCAGGGCACTGCTGATAGGGATCTCTCTGCAGGCATGTCTGCACAGGCAGTGCCTGGTGCCCATCAAGGCTTGGCAGGCATGGCTGCATCACTCTGAGGAGCCTGGTGCGGTCAGCCTGGAGTGAGAATCACCACTATGCTGCATCTAACACACCCTCACCCTGCCCCAGGTGCTGGTGTTGAAGATAATGTCACATGATTTTTCTTTCTCCTCCAGACCAACGATGCCTTAGGAGCCACCTGGAACTGGCTGTACTTCATTCCCCTCATCATCATTGGATCCTTCTTTGTCCTGAACCTTGTCCTGGGAGTGCTGTCGGGGTAAGTGAGATGCCATCCTTCTCCTATGGGTTATGCTTTTTGCATGTCTCTTGGCCCTGAGGCTGGCCTGGTACTGCCATGCCCCCCAGGATTCTAGTAGCTGGTTCCTCTGCCCTTTCCATGCCTGCCTGCCCCACAAAAACAGATTGCTCCCTGCTTAGCATCTTTGTTCCCTGGGGACCCAGGAAAGGGGCAGCCCTGAAGATGCTTTCCTGTTGTTTCACCTTGCTGAAGAGTTTGTGGGTTTGGTCACCTGCAAGAAATGGCCAGTGTTGATTTTCTGGCTGCTTGGAGCTTGCTAGTGGGGAGAGACATGGTGGGGCCTTATGGAAGTGTGTTTTGAGTCCAGGATATGTTTGTAGTGGGGTGCGTATTTGCTGGCTGATGGAGTGTGGCAGGCATGGTTTGGGATCAGTTTGGGGCAGTTGTGGGAGCAATGCAGGCACTTCCATGCTGTGGAAGCCCTGGCTGCAAGATTATGCTTAGCATGGTGTGGAATACCCACTGGTGAGGGTAGGGGTCCCTGGGTTGCACGTGGATGAACCAGGGACATAGGGACAGCACAGCTGCCCCTGTTCTGCTCTTCCCAGGGGAGAGGAGGTTTTAATCTAAGCCATTAAAATGGGTTTGGAGAGCAACAGGCTTCTGTCTCCATGACAATGAACTGTGGTTGCATCAGCACATCCTTAACTGCTGGTGGGGGTTGGTGCATGGGGAGAGCATGCCCTCTCCTGCACTGGTAGGGGGATGTGGCTCCTCTGTCCTTGCTGCAGGTGGCAGTGGGGACTCCATGCCCAGCAGCAGGTCATTTTGTTCCTAATTGCCCACTGTGAAAAAAACAAAACAAAACAACCTCCTCTCCCAACAGTATAGCACTGGTTTGGCCAGCTGGAAAGTGCTTTGCTGGAGGGATCAGTGTGGAGACTGCTCCTGGTCTTCTCCCTCACTGTCCGAAGTGCTCCCATGACTCCAGGTGCGCTGATAGTGGTTGTTTCAGGAGTGCTTTGCTGTACTTCAGGGTCTGTTGGTGGATTGAATTTCCCCAGTTTTCAGTCTGGGGTATGACTGAGACCAGGAACTCTAGGGACAGGCTGCAGGAGGGGATTCACACCACCTTGCAAGGAGGGATCTCTTATGGAGGATGAAGGTGTCCAAGCAGCATTAAGTGGCTTTTGAATTTCTTATGCCCCATCCAGCTTGGGGATTTGAGCAAAGCCCAGCTGGGTGTCAGTGTCAAGCAGGAGCTTTCCTACAAAAACCCAGAGAGGAAAAGTTAGGTTGGGGCTAGGCTGGTTGTTGAAGTATTGAATCATGCCAGTGTAATGTTTTGTGTAGACACTGAGGCTTTTGATGTTGGTGTGATGCAGAGAGCAGCCTGAGGACATGGTAAGGTAGCAGTGCTCTAGCCTACAAGCCAGCTACTGGCAGGAGGACCACAGGGTGGCTGGTGGGATGTCTGGTGTGTACCCTGGTCCATGGTTGATGCTTACCTGCTCTGCGACTGTGCAAGGCAGCTGTTCCTACACCTGCTGAATGGGATGCAGTTGCCTAGGGTTCTTCCCAGGCACCGGCTGGCATTTCGACTGTTTGTTTATTGCTAATAGGGTTTGTACTGGGGAAGGATGCAAGTGGGTGGGTGGCCTAATTGGCAATGGAGATGCTCTCTTGGAGTGCCAGATATCTAGGGAAAAGCGTGACTGCTCAGCTCCCTGGAGGGCTGAGCAAGGTGAGTGGAGGCGGCAAACTGGGCTCTGCCACCCAATGGCAGAGCCATCGTCTGTGTGCTTCTGCTTGGCCATGGTCATAGACATTCTCTCTGGTTCAGTGCATGCAGTCCCTCGGCAGTGGTGAAGCATCATTTTGCCAAAGCTGCTGCCAGAGCTCTAGAGGGGTATGGCGTAAGGTGGGAGAAGGTACTTCTGCACACAATATATGTCCTTGAGGGCAATAAAAAGAACTTAGTTCCTTGCTTTGCTTGCTTAATTTTTATTGTTTTTACTTCTTGCAATCCTCTTGTGCTGGAAGAGAGCACTTGGCTCTGCTGTGGGAGGGGAAGTGTGACCTTTACAGCCGTGGCCTCTGGGCTGGATGAAAAGGCAGCGTCTGGCTGCATCCTCTTGCACACCCTGCAGTTGGGCTGAGCTGGGAGGAGAAGGTCACTTTGGGGATGAGCTCCATGGAAACATCTCCATGTGAAGGAAACCTTTCTTCAGCTTTCAAACACTGCTTTGAGGGAAGATAGGCAGCCGTGCCCCACTAGCTGAAATTAAGGTCACTCTGTTAACTTGGGACACAGCAGTGAGTGGCGAGCCATGGTAGCCTGCTTGCAGAAACCTGGATGCACGTTGCTTGCAAACTGCACCATCTGCACTGGCAAATAATGAGGTCTGCTCAGGATTTCTAGCTTTCTTCTCAAAGTTCACACTCAGGAGCTGCTGCAGAGCTGCTTCTCTGCACTTGCTTTGTCAAAGCAGTGTTTTTTGGGGGGGAAACAATCAAACACCCAAAGCAGGTCTTGAATGCGAAGAGGCTGCAGGAGGACATTTGTATGTTTAACTTGCCACCAGCAGAAGTTTGCCAGAGCCCAGATTTAGCAATCTTCTGGTTGCGATGCGCATCTCTCCCAACAGTCAGTTCCCCAACTGTTAAGCTGAGGCATGACCTCCATGATGTAAACAGCCTGGATCCATCTGCTCCTAAGCACAAAGTATGTGGGAGAGGAAAAGAAATTATTTCCATCATACTGAGGCTCCTCGCTTTTTCTCTCGAAATACTAATGCGCACACATGCGCTGGAATTGCATGCAACACTATTAAGAGGAGATAGAGTCACTCCAGGCAGGGGCTTGGAGAGCCAGTTCTTCTGGGGCTTTGGCATTTATTACTGTGTTTATTAACTCCCCCCCTCTGTGGGTGCAATTACAGATCAATTAATTCTAACTGAAAGCAGGAAAAAAAAAGGCCCTGTTCCTCTTTGAGAGCAGGTATGGAGCCCAAGGAAATGTGACTGCTCAGCTTTTACAGCTACGCAGGCTACTGAAATAATCCTGGCAGAAGAGAGTCAGTGGGAGCGAGCGAGGATGGAGCATCAGCTGAAGTGCCTTGTTTTCTGCCATGTGGCAGCCAGTGGATGTTGGAGCTCAGGAAGTTGCAGAGACTCTTATCAAGCGTTGCCTGCTGCCATGCCATGGCCTGAGGTTGGTTTCACCCAGCACCCTGCTGTGGTGTGGCAGGGTGCACCTGCAGATCTGCATTTCTTCCTTGGGAGAGCTGCTGTTAGTGCAAGGAAAGACTCACATGCTGCAGGAGTAGGAGGGATGGATGGGACCTCCTCCTGCCCTGGATGACGGCCCATTGCAGGCAGTGCACTGCAGTCAGCTGGCTCTGAATCAGGGGTTGCAGAAGTTGCATGTGCCCCATGCAAGAGCTCTGCAAAGGTCTGCTCTCCCTTCTTTGTGACATTTTTTTATGTTTGTTTTTCTCTCAGCTGGTTCTCATGTAAAACAATTTGGATCTGTGTGTTTGGGCTGTGCAAGCAACAGAGACCCAGTGAGAGCTGCTCTGCCCTGTCCCTGCTGCCTGTGGCATAAATGGTGCTGCAGTGGCAGTAATGCCATCCCAGTAATGAAAGTAGCTTACCACTTGTCCTGTCCTAGCCACTGGTTCTGCCTTCTTTGCCCCTGATGGCAAGAAGATGTCTTGTGTCTAGCTTGTTGCTGGAGCAAGAAAATGAAAAAGTGAAGATAAAAAATAAGCCATGCTTTGAGGTATAATGTTGAGGACTCACGTGGAGTTTCTGAAACTAGACAGGCTGTGTTTTGACTCTTTTCCACCTCCCTTTCCCCAGCCCCTGCAGAGAAAATCTGGGTTGAAATTGCTGTCCTCCATTCATTGTAGCATCTGTCCTCCTCTTGAGGGCTGGTAGACTTCTTTCCCCTATCCAGTCTCATACTTCCATCCCCTTTCCAGGGTGACAAACCTGCTGCAATCACTGGCATTCATGGTCCACAGCAAAAACTGTGTGAGTGCACAGTGAAAGAGGATGCTGCCTGACATAGCAAGGCTGGGTTCTTGGGTCTGCAAGGAGAAGATCTTTGAAGCTGATGGCAGAGAAAGATGTTGAGCATGATGGCAAGAAAAATACAATCCATCTGCATTGTACCAAACAAGAGAGTAATTTAAATCCTCCTAATTGCTTCCACTCATCCTGGTGATGTTAAGTCTTTTCTCCCTTTAAGACTTTTCTGCCCCCACCCCCAGCTCTTGCTCTAAGCCTTTGAAAGAATTGTCTAATGTTATAATTAAAGGATCAATTTGGCAAGATTTCTTTGTCTTAAGATCTTCTTTCTTTCAGGTTGGGTTACTGCTGTGTTCCCAATCTCTGGAGAGTTTTCTCTGGCTCCTTCAGGAGCCTTCTGTACAATCTCTGAAATCTTTTCACTTCACTTAATTTGAATTTTTTCCCATCCAATTTTGAGGCATAACAAATGATGAATAAAATTAAGTTTTACAGCAATTAATAATAAGGGCATTGAAGGTACAAGTGTACATTTTCAGTGGAGGCAGGGGTGGTTTGTGGCTTTTCTTTTTGCTGGCTCTCTGCAAAACCTGGGCCCCATGTATTCAAGCTGGATTGGGTGGTTTGAAGCCAAAAACACTGGAAGGACGATTAATGTCTCAGAGGTAGGTGGTTTGTGGAGGGGAAGTCAGGGAGATGTGTTGCCACAATGCGGAAAGGCTCGTGGGGAGATCATGAGTTGGCAGTAAAATGCCAACATGCCTGAGAAATATTGCATTGAAAGCATGAAAGCTTGGAAGCATCTTTTTTTTGTTGTTTTTGTTTAATGGTTGTAGCATCTCAGAGAGTAGCTTAAATGAAATGGAGGTTGTCTGTGTCCATTGTGTATTTGGGAATTCACTTGTTGGAGCTGCTTTTGAATGGAGGTGTGGGTGTAACTAGGAGGGGGGACCGTGATGCCTCCTGCCAAGTCCCCCAGCACC